TAATAATAATAATAGCTTTACTTTTTTATCTGATGGTGACAATTTATTCATCTACCAGGTCTTGCATGGCTGTTCAGAGTGCCATTTTCTCTGTATCTTTTAATCATTTTTTAAACTCCAGTTAACTTTTTAAACACTTATTTTTTTTTCCCCCCTTCCTTATAACTATTGACTGGAAATTAATGAAGTGTAGTCTCTGACATGTGCATAGTACTGTTTAAACATATGGCGAGAGAGAGAGAGAGAGAGAGAGAGAGAGAGAGACAGAGAGAGAGAGAAAGAGAGAAAGAAAGAGAGAGAGTGAGAGAGACAGAGAGAAAGAGAGAGAGAGATGCTCTCGATTGTACACTTTTTGTTGCACTCTATGATAGATGTTGCTGTAGACGTGTCAGAAATGCCAGTGGAACTCCAGGGACACATGGACCTTCTCACACCATAAAGCACTTAGCACTTCACCTAATGTGTGTGTCTGTAACTGCCCCCTACCTCAGAAGAGTCCGAGCTGTGTATCACTGTCAGAAATGTAGAGCAATGTGTATGTACCCTTATACACTGTGTGCACCTAAGAACAGCTTCTCATTCATGTTTGAGTAAAATACAAGAGATCATTTCAGAATCAAAGCCAGGACTTAAGTACCTCTTAATAAAACTTTAATAATCTGAGATGTAAGGTGAAGCAGGCTTCTCATGGGGTACTGTCTTGGCTACAGCATCTCAACATTTTTAAAAATAAATCTGCCAATAAGGATTATTTGGAGTGATGCCATTGAAGAATCTCTTTTAGTTCCCTAAAGCAGTGTTCCTCAAACCAGTATTCAGGGCCTCCAGATGGTCCTTGTTTTTGCTCCAACCTAGCCCCCACTACTCCTGGACCAAAAATGTGGGATCTTTGAGACTAGATTGAAGAATAGTTTGAGAATCACTGGCTTAAAATATGGATGGCTCCTCAAAACAATGTGTTTGTAAATGAGATGTTTGAGTGTGATGAATGCTTTTAAAGTTCAAAAGTATCTACAAAATGTAAAGGTTCCATATCAATTAAAGCTTTTCCTAGAACCATATGTCTATGCCAAGAACTATTCAAGAAACTTTATTTTAAAGAGTACAAAATCAACGAGTCAAATTTGAATACCTGTCACACAATTAAAAGCCAGAGTCTAGGAATATGCCTGTTCACTCAATAAAAGGAATATCATCTAATCAGTGGAATCAACCAGTCATGTTAGGATTTGCCACTGGTGGGAGCACTTTGTGTGAGAAAATATCTGGACCTTCTGGAAGTCCTAGATACGTCACTGACTGTGAGTATGAGTAGAAGCTTGACCAGTGCTTTTGAGCAGCAGCTGTCCACCAGGACTCTTTACTGAAAGAGTCTCTGTAAAACTGCCCCAAGGTAAAATACATGATAATAAGTCTGTTAAAAGCATCCAATAAAACATGAATTGGCTTCAAATGTTAGTGTTTAATCTAGAATAGCCAAAAATTGTTCATGTGAATTGCTGTTAGCTTAGCACTTAAAACACTGAAAAAATCCCATAGAGATTCTAGGAGAAATGAGCTTTATCATAGAGGTGTTTTTTTTCCTTGGTTTTGGCTGAGTTTTGACATTTACAGCCCGGACTAAAGGTCTAACTCTAAAGTCAATCACACTCTGGACATGACACAAATAAAAATCACAAAAATGTGAAATATTTGGACATGATTTTTACACATCAAAACTATACCCACTGGCTTCATGGCTTCATTAGAAGCTGAAAATTTGAATGCTTACACATATAAACCTGGATGTCTGTAGCCCAGTTTGAGATGCTATTGCTATTTCTAATAGTTTAGATGTTTGTCTAAAAGTTCAAGTTGGTGGACATCTGTCGTCTTGGTTATCGTTGGTTGCCGTTGGTTAGAGAGTTTATGATGCCAGTGAAATTTCGCAAAAATTGTATAGAGGGAAAATAAATCAATGTTGCATTGCACCGTCTGAAAATCGCATTTAGTGTGAAAGATATCAGTTTTATACATGATCTAATTAAATTATTATCTTTGTTGTCTTTACTGTAATTTATTGTCCAATAATTATAAATCACTTAAAGATGTCCTTTCCAATCTTGCAGAGGTCAAGTATTTCAAAAAATAAATTACTGCAAATTCTGTGAATACATTAGATTATAAAATGCATTTTAATTTTTTGACTTTCATGGAACTCTCTATTTAGACTATAAGTCCTGGTATATTATGTGCATTGCGAGATGTTATTTCACTTGTCCAGTCTTGAACATTGTGACTATTAACCTTCATTTCTTCATATCTGCTGTACATCATTTCAGCACCATACAGAATAAGTGTTTCCACTGCTCTACCAAACCTAGTTCCAAAAAAAAAAGGTGTTTGAGCAGGGAAATTACTACATTATATAGGGATCAATACAGTGCACAACAACAGGGACACTGACTGACATTCTTTTCTTCACTTACATCCGTCAAAGCTGTGCTCATTTTGGCTAGCAGCCATGATGCTGCTTGAGACCCACCTGGGTGAGATCATGATAATGACCCCCGACAACAATGTCGAATGGAAATTAGACATAGTGCAATATTAGGCAAATAGTTTATACAGTTCAATGTACAGTTTAACACCCCTAGACTTTCTATTCCTAATCTTTTGGAAGGTTATAACAATTACCCATGAAGCAAATATTGTAGCACAGAACAAGGACTAACTGAATATAATCATCCATTTTATATCTCCTTTTGGGTCATAGACAGCTGCCAGGGCCTTTAAAAAAGGAACAGATTTTTCAAAATTTCTGCATATTTCAATGATTACAATGTAAACATAGTCATTCAGAGTGGTTTGATGTGAAATTAGCCATTTTAGAGAAACTCACTGAGTCTGAATTGTTCACAGTGGTGGTGATAGGAACCAGTGTTTAATGCCTCTAAAAACTCCCTCACAGAAAGTTACTAAATGGAATGGTTAAGAATGGTTTATAGTTTAGGCTTAAAATGTATTTTTAAAAATGCATTAATGGCAGTGAGATACATATAACGTGTTGTAAGGAAGAACACTATGCAAAGAAAATGTATTTTGTCAGATTTAACCCAGCTGTACCATCATTAACATTACATAAAAAGATTCAGAAGACACATGCAGGTTCACTGGCTATTTTGAGTAGCAAAATATTTGCATTGACATTGTAAGCCCTGGTTCCTATCATTACCATTGTGAAGAAATCACAGAAAGTGTCATCTCACATCAGTGTCATTTCACATCAAACCATTTGTAATGACTTTGGATTGCAAAGACTGGATTATACAGACATTTGGAGAAATTGGTGGAATTTGGGTTTGATTTGGTGTCACTAGGCATCATTGCCTGTAACAATGTATTTGTTTAATAAATTCATTTGACTCAGGACAGTAAACGAGCCATTCTGAATGTGATGCTGAGCTCTTGAGCAATGCACCTGCAGTGCTGAACAGCAAACACAGCTTGTAAATAAAAAATCTGTAATCCTTTAGCCCACAAGCAGACATAATCCACATATTCACCTTGAGATTGCTCTGAAAGACCAGCAGAGGAACAGCAAACGATTTAAATCACCCAAAACAAATAAATAAAAAACTATAAATGGTGATTTAAACGTTTTAAAATAAAGCATAATTAATATTCTATTTTATGTGGAATGACCAACAGCAGAGCTAATATTCACGATTCCTGCCTACTTTATATCTCAATATCACATCTTTCTCTATTTTAAGTTCCACTATTTTTCAAAATGTGCATTAAATTAATTCAGTTAAAAAACAGCCCACATTGCACGAAATTGTCATTCATTCCGCGAGCACATGAAGATGGGATTCCATTAACCTTGCAGTGGGGGAAACCACAAAGTTCAGCCTGTCCTAGGACTGGAGTCTACAGTCTACGAATGATAATGAGCCCTAAATGAATGATCAGCAGCTAAAAGACGGCTGATAAAAACCTGCAGTTCGACTTAATGGAGGAATGTGTCTGATGTTCTTGACTCGGGCTCGGGGCTCCAGTGAGAGCAGGACCACTCTCCGTGGTGGAATGGCCAGAAGCTCGACTGTTTTGCTTACCCGTAAAATCTGCCCCCAGCGGCCAGCTGCGCCCAAAGCGAGTCTCCCGAGTCTCCGTCCTGCTCTCCGAGAAGACCCGAGCTGTTCAGAGGGCTCAGCGGCAGCTCCGTGTCTGACATGTCCGGCCCCATCTTCCCAGCAGAGCGAACGTAAAGGCCAGCGCTTTACCAAAGGCACTTAGCGGACTGTAGCGGGGTGGGCTTTTGGAGAGTGGAGCGGGCTGGGAGACCCCTCAACACTAGAGCGACATACAGTCCATCACGGACCTCTCACACGTCACTCAAGGGGTCCCACAGACAAACAAGGACCAAGCGGATTGTCTGACTGTCGAAATGAACTGCAGTTGTATTTTATAGAATTTTATATTAACAAAGGCTGGATGTGCTGATCAATTTGATCGAATGAAAATGTGTTTATTTATTTATTTGCTTGTTTGTTTGTTTGTTTGTTTTTTTGTTTACTGAGTGGACGGAAATAACAGGAATGACCTGAGGTCTTTTCTACAGGCCTGGACATGCTCTAAAACAGCGCATCGCAGTGACTACTTACGCAGAAAAGCACATGAGAATGAACATACAAAATCCACACCGACACACAACACAAAATAACAGTGCAGTACAAACAGAACTGCACAAAAATAAACGATTAAACTCTCTGTAGCTTGCTTAACATTGCAGCTGTCACGTTAAATCAGTCTTTATTGACTTGCAAACCAAGCATCAAGAAACAGGTCTCCATCACTCTGTATAAGACCACCTGGGCTATATTTGGGACAGTTGGCGCACCGCCCCCGCCCCGCAGCACATCTCCACATTCCCCATATAGCTCCCTCGCCCAAGAACGACAACAGGTGCCAATCCTCCTTTTTTTCAAGCCCACCAGACCATTGGAAGCACCTCCTACCTCTTTGAAGGTTGAGTCCTGTTGCAGAGGAGGGCTCAGTCCGGTTTGGGGTCTCCAGTGTCTGGTGAAGATTATGTATAGATTTCCCCTGCTCGCCTCATGTATAGTTTTGTTCCACTGTATATCATTACTGATCACTCAAGAGCAAATCATGGAAACAACGAAACATTTCAGTGATCCAGTTGCCGGCTCTTAGTCCCACTGCTGTGTGAAGACCCCACAGCCGCTGCAGCAGATACTTCATTCACACTGGGCGCTCCTCCATCAGCCCGCGTCTCCATATTGCGAAGTTCTGAAGAGGAACTGTTGGATTCAGAAAGCCCCCGCCCGTGACACTTTGCGCCACAGCTGCTCCCCTTCGCGCACCCGGAGCCGATTCCCACCTGCCATCCAGCATTCACAGTAATCTTCAAGACTGTTGACGCATCTTCTTCGCTGGAGCGATGCTGAGCGCCTCAGACGCGCTGAGGGAGCAGCTCTCCTCTCGCCTGACGGCTGGAGATCTTGACTGTGAGCCCCGTTCGCGCTTTCCCTGCCATGCCCTCCTCCCGCTCAGTGGAAGGGCAGGCTGCCCGGCAGCGATCACACTGCTGAAGCCGCGCAGCCGATCTGGTCTGGTCCGGGGTGTTTTCCCTCCTTCAGAAATATGGCAGGTGTGTGAGTGAAAGTGGTGGGGGCGGAGCTAGGAATAGCGTCGAGGACCCAAATCCTCCAATTGTTAAAAAATACACGGAGACATAGATACCAAGAGCCGCACATGCATTTCATTAGAGCAGATTTCAGCAAATCCTGTCAATACATTACACTGCAAATACGCTGTTTAGCGGTTTTCACAGCTGACAATGACTGGTCCTATAGCAAAGTTAAAGTGTGCTATGTGGGTCATGAGATTTAGATTAGATTTAGATTAGATTCAACTTTGTCATTGTGCAGGCAGGGCCATTGAAATGTAGCTAGCATCTAACCAGAAGTGCAAAATCCAGTATTATTTACATATAAAGTGCAGAAGGACGGTAGAGAGAGCCTCAGGGAAGAAGCTCTTCTTGAGCCTGCGTGGGAGCGGTGAGGTGAGGGAGCTGAGGCACCTGTAACGGCTACCAGATGGGAGGAGGGTAAAAAGTCCATGGTTAGGATGAGAAATGCCCTTGATGATGTTCCACACCCTGCCCAGGCAGCCGTTATGGTAAATATTGTTAGGTAAATAAACACTATATCGCTAAAACTGGTGAGATGCTGAGCCTTGCAATGCACACACAGTGATTACATTTCACCAAACTCACACTCCTAAAAATAAAGGGTTCTTTTGAGTGATGCCATAAAAGAATCAATTGGTTCCCTTAAGAACCTTTCAATGGATAGAACCATTTTTGTAAATAAGATGTGTGAATATGAAGAACCTTTTTAAAGCTTAAAGAACCTCCACATAACATAAAGGTTTTAGGAAGGTTCTACAAGCTTTTTAAGGTTCTTCACATACACAAATATCTTTTTCAAACAGGGTTCTTCAGGGAACCAAAAGTGGTTCTTCTAGGGCACTGCTCAAAGAACCATTTGCAGCACCTTTTCATAGTTGTGACTATTAATGTTTATGAAATCATAAAATTGAACTAACATCTGTATATTTTCTACATAGCATTTTGGCCCTACCTTGATTTAAAAGGGAACTCCACCATTTTTCAAAATTTCTGAATAATTCACTCATTGAGACGTTAACAAAATAATTCTAAGTTGGCTGATGTGAAATGGTGCACTGTAGAGAAACTAACTTAGTAGTGGTGATAGGAACCAGGGGTCACAAAGCCTATAATTCAACTACAGCCATTTCATTTACAACCCAACACTAACAATAAACCTTTATGTGGCTTCTGAGCTTTGTAATGTTGAAAATAGAAACATTGTAGTAAATACTGAAAAAAAGTTTTCTGTAGGAACTGTTTCGCCTTACAATGCCCTGCATGTAACCCTCAGGCACAAATGAATAAAAAATACACTTTAGGGCAAAACCTTATTTCAAAACTAGCATAAAACAAAGTCTCAGGCATCAGACAATGTATTTGTAACCATTTTATGTACTAACTTTCTGTGATGTAGCTTTTAGGGGCATTAAATTAAAATCTGGTTCCCATCACCACCACTGTGAATAATTCTGACTGTCTTCTTTAGAAGTTCTCACTTCAAACCATTCAGAATGACATTGTTTACATCTTTAGGTTTTGCTAAAATTTAGAAAAATCAGTGAAATTCCCCTTTAAGTGTTTTCTCTGCTCTACCAAACTTGTTGAGGGTGTTTAACTGGGGAAATCACCACAGGGATCAATAAAAAGCTTTAAAGAAAGTTGTAAACACAGAGATTGACTGATATCCTCTTTCTTCATTAATCCATCCATCAGAGCGCTTATTTCTTTTATGCATGACGGCATTTGAGACCCACCTGAGCAAGACATCATGTCCGAACCTCATCTGCAGTTAGCCAGAGTACCACAGGCTTTATTTCACAAATGTAATTAAATTGTTCTTGAAGTTAATAGGCTCGAACAGGACAAATGGGTAGGCTTTTGTTTACAACATTAGGATTGCTTTTAGTACTTTACATTTTAATGACAGTCAAAGGTCTGAACAAAGTGATGCTCTTGAACTGTGTTTTGGATTTACATTGCATTACATCACAATCCTTCATTTTTCTCTTATGTAGCTGCTTTCACTTAAAGGCCAAGTGCTTAGCATAGTACATTTCCTTATGTACTATTCATTATCAAACATGAGGATCTGTTACAGAATCTCAGAAGAAGAAAACAGGGAGTCTAATGTGATTTTTTTTTTAAATGATGATGAATTGATACCTTTGAGTTGGCATCAATCCATTACATACAGCCATGTAAAGTGAAGTGATGTATACATTCATCACTATTTAAATTACTAAATGTAATCTAGTCTTGATCACAAAAATGATTTTTTCATTTAAACCTAAAAAAACCCAGAAAATTTTAGAATTTTGAAAAATGTGAAAGTTGAGAAAACCATGAGAAGTAAAATGAAAAAGAAATATGCATGATTATGCATTCTGTGATTAAAGCAAAAGAAGGACAAAGACACAAAGAAATTCTGAAGTTCATGTAAATATTTCAAAGATTCTACTTTTCAGTCAGATTGATATGCTGACGATATCAGTTGTAATTAAAAAAACTGTATTAAATTTAAGAAAAATGCAAAATAGAAGCATTTTCACTAGTGATCTCAGACACATACAGACTGTATGTGTGAGCTTTAGCATTCTTTCCAGCTACTTTCTCTAAGAACTCCTGATCTGTTTGGAGTTTCACCTTGACCTTCAGATTGTGTTTGAGCTCTGGGTTGCGTAATGTTGTATGTGAGAGAAATTGCAAACTTACGCTGTAATCTTCACCTGATTATGATCTCAACAATGCAAGGAAAGCACTCAGGAAGATAATTAACTTTCAAGGTGTTGGTGAAGTCGTGTGACTCTGTGAACACCAGGAGTACATGTCATGAAGTTTACTGTTAAAATGCTTTGGACTGTTGCTTGGTCAAAATAATACATCTCTCAGAGTTAGGGATAGCATATCACTCTCTCACATGAACGTTGAATCACTCTATTCCTCTGTCAGAAGGCTGGTGTGACAATCATAGGAGGTTACTCAGTTCCACTGTTTATTAGCGCTGAATAGTTGTACAAAGGGGTTTTAGTTTTGATGCAAATCTTCATGTAAATAACTCACAGTGGGACCTGGCAAGACTAAAGTACAGCCTCCACATGGCGGGGTGAGTTTTCATCAAAAACATACTACAGATAGAATGTAAATAACATATGTTTCAATTTATCATGCTAATATTTTCTACTTAATAGTAAAAAAATTAATTTGATGTTTTTGATTTAGGCTTTCACTCAACATTTTTATTTTGAAGCATAGAGTCATATGGAAAAGTTTGGGCACCCCTAGTCAAATTATCTTTTATTGATTGTAAGTGAAAATAAGTTATCACATCCTCCACAGAGAACATATTTAACCTATCCCAGCGGTCAATGGGCGGAAGGCAGGAAACACCCTGGACAGGTCGCCAGTCCATCACAGGGCAGACAGACAGACAGACATATACATTTGCTCATACACTTGCACCTGGGGGCAATTTAGTGTGTCCAATTGGTCTGACTGCACGTCTTTGGACTATGAGAGGAAACTGGAGCACCCAGAGGAAACCCATGCAGACATGGGGAGAACATGCAAACTCCACACAGAAAGGACCCTGGTCGCCTGGCCGGGAATGTATTGGTTGCTTGTACAAAATTATTATCATTATTAGCTCTAATAATAATTGTTAAGCAAAAAACAAAACAGGTTGCACCATGCTCTCCGCTTTATAACATTTTGATAAATGCATTCATTGATGTAGTAAAAAGTAACAACTATTTCTTTTTTTTAAAAAAACAGTAGCTGATATCTTGTTAGCTTGAAGAGTTAGCATGTTTGGTTCCAGACTTTTCTTCCAGTCCCTGAGCTATCTTATTGTTTTGTTTTGCATAGGTTTGCATGCCTGATTTAATGTAATAAAGTCCTGATTAGCCAAAACAGGTATTGTATGATGACTATAAATAGCACTGGGCTTCTGCAAGGAGAGAACATAAAATGACTACTCATTGCATCAATACTATTCATATTTATTTTAATATTAGAGTCTTTTCTAAGCAAATAAGTGCTTACTGCATAGATATATAGCTTTTTAAGTATAACATAAAACTTGTGCACAGTACAGCAGTATTTGTGTGGTATTTGGCATCAACACACATGAAAACCGCATGAAACATGAAGCAGAAACAATACACTGAGCCATACATAAACTGTGGCTTCAGTAGAGCTAAAGTTAAACCTAAACGAATCGCCTAAACGAATTTGGCCACAGGGAGTGCACGGACGTCCTTATCCATTATTGCCTTTATGAATGGAACATTTATACACAGAAAATTGTCCTTGACTTATTGTCTTGGTTATTACTTTCTGAATCTTCTGCCAAAGACTGAAATCAGTTTAAATCCACCAGTAGTCACTATAAAATCTCCACTGGGAAAACTGGTGGCATTCAAACCTACTACTATTGATCCTTCAGTGATCTAGCCTTTCTTTGGTTGTTTACATTATTATCATCAACTTTTAAATGCCTTCATCATGCATGCCACTCTGATTCTGTTCTGTTGTGGGGTTTGGAGACAAAGACAACTCCTTTGGGAATTGAGGAGAGGAG